TCACGTGAATTTCCCAGACATGAATCAAAAAAGAATTTTACAACAAACAAAAATCATGTGACCATAAAATTTTTATTGCATTTTTGATTGGGAATTTTTCCCAAAATTGGCGGTGTGGCGCAGAAAGTTGTGGGACTAAGTGACTTGCACTATATATAAAAATTTTTTTTAATTTTTCATTAGTGTCACGTGCAACCAATAAAATACTTTTGTTCTATAAGTGCACGGTCTTGCCTGGTCCCAAGGGGGGTGCACTTATGGAGGGTTGACTGTAAATATCATCATAGAATTTTGTGAATAAATCTTCAAAGCTTGATAATGGTTCATTGTGATACAAATCTGGAATACAGGCTATCTTATTATAAATAGAAATTGGGAGAAATTTCATAATCCTTTGTGGTTCTGTTAAGTCAACAATGAATGAAAGCATAGGATGATTATAGTCTAATGATTTTATTGTTTGCCATGTTATTGATTTTGCAAATGATGCAACAATGTTTACCCAACCATTATCATGAAAGACTAGCCATCTAGATTGATGAGTCTAGTATGGATGAATGGAAATTATATTAATAAGCAATAAAATTTTAAAAGTCCACTTTTGTATGCACATTATCATACCTGTAAAGTCATATACTTTGAAAATACATCTTGCTTTATTCTATCATCACAAAAAGATTGATGCTTCTTTCTTTCTAATGTTGCCTCAAATTGTTCTTCACACCAATAAACTAACCTAAGTGGATTGTTTTCCATAAGTCTAAAAAATTTTGTAGTATCAAATTGTTCCATCTGCTGATAGTCCAAATGAAAATAAAGGATTGAAATAGAATTAATGGTTGTCACTTATATAATAATTTATTATTGACATATTCAATCTTTTTATAGTAATAATCAAAGACATTTAACCATTGTTAAGCATATTACCTCCATGCTAGCCTTTATCTCTTTTCTTGTCCATTTCTCTTTTTCATGTATTTGATGTAAACATTTGTAGAACAAAGATATCCCATTCTCACTGTCTTTTACTGACAAGTCATTACATATACGATAGATGAAGAAATCAAGTGGTGTTACAAGATGAGGATCGTATATGACAAAAAATCTTTTCGATATCTCACTTTGTCTGGTTTTGTTGCAGTATGCCCCATATATAAGTAAGTTATATTTAAAATAAAACTAAAGTGATGACAAGTGGCAACAACCACCATTCTTACAATAAACACTTACCCAGAAACTTCTACCTGTTCATTTTCTTGTTTTCAAGGAAGAATTAAATTTGTTGTTTGATCAACAAACACGTACACATTAATTCGCAAATCGCCAGAAAATACATATTGCAGATCAGGGCAAAATTTCCTTATTTATACGTAAAAAATTTTTCATCACATAACTTTACGTCCCATATATCCATAATAAAAATATTACTATTACTGGAATTAGATTTGGACGCTCTTTTGGCCGAATTTAACTAATTCCGAAATTCTTAATTCAATGTATTGATTAAATAAGAATGCTTTCTATTTGGTTATAAATGTAAATAAAATTTGATTAACTGGCATGTAAAAAAAATGAGTAAATGATAATTTTAAATATACAGTTGGCGCTCGATATAAGGAAGAGTTTGTTTTGGCAAAAAACTTCACTATATAGTGTGATTCATTATATAAAAAGATCGGCAAATTTTTATTTTTTTGATATTATATACAAATACATATATTAATATTGATACACAAAAAAAAAATAATAAAATTCATTAATTTTTAGTAGTAAACCAACGATCCAATTTGCTTTGTTTTTTAGAAGCAAGAGAATATTT